GTATTTTCCTTTGTACTGCTGTATTTATGATTACCGTAATATTAATGTATATGAAACACAGGAAAATGCTTTTTTGTACCAAGGGTTTAAGTATTGAGCCACAACATGCAGAAAAACCAAACAGCAGGACACAAGTTGTAAATTATTTATTACAGATTGAACTCTCTATACCTCTGGAAGTATACTGATTGGATAATTTCCTCCACCAGTCTTGAACTCATGATGGTGGCTCTCTGTAACTTCTATTGTGGTACCCAATATGTAGTATGAGTGATTCCTGAAAGACAAAATGAAACATTTCTCAGTTATAATTTCAATTTTAAATTATTTACTAATGTGTTAGATCATAGGCATGGGCCCTCAGTGATAAAAGAAAAATTAACTTACACCAATGATGACAATATATATAATTTGTAAACAGAAATATTAATTCATTTGTATTTTCCTATGGGATAACATTACTGGGTAGTTTAGGATTATCAGAGATCTATAGGACACCTGTCTTAAATTCCATTCCTCCACCCTGGCACTAGTGGATTAGTTTTCTGTAGTCCTTGGTTCAAAGTGCAAGTTCACTGCTCTAAATACACCTACCTACCTCCATTCAATTGATGACTTCACAGCACTGAATGGTTGCACTGGAGTCATTATGTACCGAGCTGATCTCAGTGGCCCAGCAGGTGTAGTGAAAAGGAATGATTTCACATCCTGTGAATATGTTCGTGAAGTCAGTGCCTTCACTGCAACAGCAATTTTTTCTTTTAAATTATGTCCTGCCTTCTGTACTAAAGACACAATTCTTGATTTTTTTGGCTCTCTTTCAACAAGCTCTTTGTCATCATCACGTTTCCGCTTCCTCTTGAAAAAGTTCATCTTTAGATGCAAGAAATATACTGTTAGTAACTAATTTGCTATAATGTAATAACAATAATAATAATAATAATAATAATAATAAATAAATAATGAATAATAAAAACAAATTAGTATTTTAAGAGGAGGCCTCCAATCACCTAGAGGTGGTTTTGAGGAGGGTCCTCTAAAAAATAAAAGTCTAAAGTATATTAAATGTCTAAAATATCTTTTCAAAGTCTCAAATTTACCATGATTCTTTACTTCCTCCAGATTTGGCAGCTTTTTTGATTTTGTCTCTTTGAGTGGATGGAATGAGGGTGGTAGAAAGAATCAATTAAATACATGTAGTTGTATTTTTAGCTGTCTTGAACAGGCACTGTTTGGAAGAATTTTTCATTTCCCTAAAGTATTTCGACGGTAAAATAAATTTCTT